GTGTGTGTCTGTGTCTGTGTGTGTGTGTGTGTGCACATATAATACACATGTGTAGACATATATCTGTATGTATATGCATGCTTGATATATGTGCGTCGTGGGAACTGTCAAGGGCTTGACTTGACTGAATGTACATGTATGCACATGTAAAATTAAGTACTGTTTTATTTATAATATATCTTAATATATAATATATAATGCAATGCACTTGTAAAAATATATAGAAATATATAAATAATTTATATATAATGTATCTTAATATTTGATAGCATAATTAGGGAATTCAGTACAATTTTAATGTACATTTGGGCCTACATTTAAAATTAGATACATTTTTATTTTAATTAAAATTGAAGTAAAATAAGATACAAATTGGCCAATATTTATTCCTATGCCACACATAAAAATAGTTTTTTAAAAAGCCACAGTGTTAAGAAAGACAGATTTATAATAGGCTACATATGTGCACATCATGTAAAAAAATATATACAAATTTCGGGCTGCCCTCGACTAAAGTTTTTTCTGGTCGACTAGTAGTCGTTCATTTTAAGCATTAGTCGACTATTAGTCGCACTTTTATTAATAAACCATATAAATCATAATAATGAGCATTTCATTGCCTACATAGCTTAATAAGCGCTCAAGCACACGCAAAAAAAGGCTTGCCGCAGCGCACCGGCAAATATAATAATTATGAATGTGTTAGGGAAAAACAGCAAGTACACTGCATTAACGTTTTAACAATTTATTGTTACACTAGTGCTTTCGGTTTAAGAGATGAAGTCGGCGACACTGACTCGTCTCCGCAGTATGCGCCTGTATGCATGTTTCATACGGATTACGTAAATCTGAGAATATTTGTTTTCTATTTGAATTGGTCCATTTAAAAGTTTCACACTCTATAGATATATTTTTCATGTCTGTAATAAGGCAAGAATACACGGAGTTTCGAAGTGACGCGCTCGAGTTCACAGAGACCGAGACGGCAGAAAGCGCATCCTGTTTGCGTACATTATTTTACAAAAGCGCAACGTTTTGTTGTTATTCTGAGTGCGCACGAATAAACGTAGAGTCTTTAGAGATACGAAAGATGCATTGCTCTTATCTGTATAACCAAAAATGAAGTATGGCGAAGTGTTAGGCTAACATTAGATTGAGCTGCCATGTAAAGTTGCTACTACATACATATTTCAGATGATAAGCCATATTTGAGGTCGATGAATGTTAGGTGAGCGTATGTCCTGCCCGATGTACTATATTACCACATAGACCAGCCGTTAACGATTTGTCCGTCACGGACTGCGAAAAAAAAAAAAACGATACCCAACCCTAATTGTTACTGTAAGTGTCACGTCAAACATCTGAATGCAGATTCAGGTCACAGAGCACTGATTAAACTCTCACTTCAGTGAGTGAATGAATCACGTGATGAATTGAGCTGTTTTACTGTTTTATGAATGGCTCTTACACTCTACACTGAGCTAATTTGACCTTTTTTATTGCACAATATGATTGTCTATTAATTTTTTTTAACGCAATGAATTTAAAGTTGTAATAGAGGTCATAGTTTCTTATAACTAGGCAAGTTTTATTTTTTTCTGATGTGGCGCTTGAAATGTGTGTTGTTGAAGTTTGTTTGTTGTCCTTCAGAATCGTATAAAACCAATATTTCCGTCTTTAAAAATGTGATTGGAAAAAAAACGTGTTTGAAGTTGTTGTTAAATAGCTAATTAATACTTCTTAGTTAGACTAATGAACTATATTATTTATTAATATATATCTTTAAATGCTGCTATATTATCATATACAACTTTTTTTTCTTTATTCATCTGGAAATTATTACAGATGAGTGAATCTCACAGAAAGTCCAAATCATATTTCACCTCAAAATCAACAGAAGAAAAAAATGGAGTCTGTTGTGTGACATTTTTTAATTTAAAATTAAATTATTGTTTTGAGCAGTCACATTTTTATGATAATTTTCTCCCATACTCTAGCACATATTCTCTATAATGGCAGCACAATCGGCCAATGCCGATTAATTTAAAAATGCCAAAAATCGGCCGATTAATAGACCAATTAATCGACCAATCGGTCGACCTCTACTATTAATTTTATTTTTATTATTATTATTTTTAACTTTGTTTTTTTTTTCTAAAATTATTTTCTTATTTTTTGTATTATTTGCATAGAGCATTAATTTTGTTTAACATTATTATTAATTTTAAGTAATGTTTTTGTTTTATTGCCAATATTTAATTATTTTATTATATAAATTATTTATGTATAGTATTATTTTTATTATTTTTACTTTAGTTTTTTTTTTTTTTTTTTGTAATTTCAAATATTTTCATTAGGCCATGCTTAGTACTTTTTAATTTATTATTTACTTAGGTTTTTCTTAATCAGCTAAAAATAAATAAATAATAATATTAAATAAAAATATATCTAATACATTATATTTTATTATATTTTTAAATATTTACATTTTTATAAAAAAATAAATGAAAAATTTAATATAATTTCTTATTTGTTCCTTTTGTTTTAGGGGTGCACTATGAGCTGGACTTATACGGTTTGATGAGCTGTACACAGATACTGTGAGAGCTAACTTTCTGAGTCTCTGTTTTAGTATTTTATAGCAGTTGACTTTAACCGGATGGATTTCCGTCTGTCTCTCCCTCAGGCGACTGTATTCATGATCCACGTTTAGTCAGACGCCGTTTCGCTCGCTTATAAAGCAGGGCTCAGCGTGTAACTAATGCTGTGCTGTAGGGCTGTCAAAATGGCTGAAAAACTAAATTCGTATTTTGTAGTTAAATATTATTAAAATTCGAATTATATTTGAGATATGTTTTTTTTTTCAAAGTTAAACCTGCATTAATTTTACATGGCTTTCTAAACATGTGGCTCTTTTGTGCGAGACGCGAGTGCAACTGTGATAGATGTCCCTCTAGAAAATTTGCGAAATATGCGTTCTGTGTAAACGGCTTGGTTTCAGTTTTGACGTAAACAAGATCTCCGCATTAATGTTCTCTTTTTCCGCAGTATTTGTAATTAACAACGCAGCAGCGCCGCATCTAGTGGCTTCAACTGGATAGGCTGACAAAAATATTATAATGCAGTGACACTTACATCGTCATCGCATCTCGTGCGCCGCTGATAAGGCTGCACACCTAAAATTCGAATGCAACGTTTTTGCATTCGAATGTG